CTGCTCTCAGATAATTAAGATCTTACACCAAAGCCCACATGTTGACAGTGTTTTATATGGTTTCATTAACACTCTGATTAAAGGAAGCCACAAATAACCAAACATTGAAAACAGTCCCCTCAGCTTCTTAAATATTTAAAAAAGAAAAAAAAAAAAAGGCATGAACCAAAATTTAGCAGCATGCCTTTTCCACAGCTAGAAAAGCAGCAACACAGCTCATAAAAGTTGTCCTGACAAGAGCTTACTGGTGCTGTGTGAAAGGAAGTTCCTTGGTCCCCCTATCTTTAAACTCCACTTTTAATGCCACCTCAGATAACTCTAAGCAGTGCTGCAGTCTAAACTATTGACTCATCTTACAGAGAGAACAGCTGCAAAAAAAAAACATTAACTGATTAAAGACCTTGATGAGATTGGGAGGATTAAGAAAGAGGGAACTTTGAGGAGGTTCCTTTTCATGCAGCAGAAGAAAGACCTCATCCAGCTTTGTGTACATCTCTCATTTGCTGATGTGGAGGAGAAAGTGATCTTCAGGCTGCTATACTTACACTCACAGTTAGTCCTTCAGACATATGTATGTGTGTATATGTGTGGGTTTGGAATACACGATAGGCACCTAACTGTAGAAATAACCTTAACAGCAGAGATTTGTTAGACAAACTAATTTTTAACCAATATTTGAATCCCATCATTGTGAACAGCCTTCAGAGAAATTTGGTGCTGCAATCACTGAGGGAAATTCTGGCAGTGTAATTCAGGAGATTAGATTATACAGTAACATTGCTTCCTCTTGCTTTAAATTTATGAATAAGTGAACATATCATTTTGGTAGTCCTGTCCATTTTAATGTCCCATTACTAGGGGCATTAAGAAGCTGCTCTTTGAAAGGTTTATGAAATTCTTTCCAAAGACATTTTTCTTTCCATCTACATCCTTTCCCCAAAGTTAAGATGTCATATGTAAAAATAAATACATTGTCTGGCATATGGGTCTCACAAAAAAATATTTTGGAAAGCAAGAAATGAAAAGATTTATTTAACTGTGTAGCCACTCAAGCCAAAATGTTTTATTTTTTTTTTAATTGACTTCATTTGTTCATACTGAAATCATTTTATAACTTTTTATTGTAAAACCCTTTCATAAAGCCTAGTAACTGAGTTTCAACATTGTTGATTATAAGATTTCAGTTTTCATTTAAAGGTGAACAGAAATTAATCAATTGTTCTATAAAGGTAAAATTATAAATACTGAGCAAAGACAGAAACTGACAGAGTATTTTTGTGCATTTGTAATCATTTGTATTGGGATCTTTTTGTGTGTGTGTGTGTGAGAACATAAGTCATGGGTAGAATGTAAAATATGAAATAGTGTTTTCTCATATGAACCTCAAAGCCCATAAGTTATGGGCAACTTAGAATGGAATTATTCTGCCCTTCAAAAGCAGGACAGCAACAGCTAGAGGCCTCTTAGGCTTCAAGCTCAGGTGCATCCATACCTTTCATGTCAAATTATAGAAGGAGAAAACAAATGTGGATGGAAGCTAATGCTGTCTACATAAAATAAACAACTAGATTTGCTAAGATCACGATCACTACACAAACGAAGGCACTGCCATAGATCCTTGGAGAGTGTCTTTTTCCTTAAATGGAGTGTAATACTCTCCACTATGGAAGTAAGGCTAATGCCTGAAATTCCCCCAAAGGGTGCAAATGAGAAAGTCATGTGCTTTTAATATATCCTTAACATTGTTCAGAGGATTTTTACACAGTATTTATGCAGTGTTTCCTTGCAAAACCCACTATTGCTTTATTAAACCATGAAGCAAGCAGGTCCTCCATGGACTTCATCACCAATCATTTTAGGCACACTACGGAAATTATGCAGTGAAGTAACTCTTCAGCACTTTATAAAGCAGCTCATGATGGCTATAACATTGTTTTATGGTGTCAAAAAAAACACAAAAAACAACAACCCATAGTCATCATTAAATCTTTCCTTTATGTATTCCTAGCACAGAGATGCGAAGTATTAGTACACATACAGTATTCCACACGTAGTTGCTATTTAGGCCAAAGGGACAAACTTCCTGTCCTATGAACTTCGGACCATCCAAAACTCATTAACTGTGCATGACAGTCAAATTCTGGAGCATGTTACACAGAGATGTGAAGGCTTCATGGGTTCTCAAGAAGTTAATGGAAAAATTCCCACTGATTTTGATAACATCTCCAGTAAACCTGCATTTCCAAATTCTAGACAGGATCTTGGATTTCACTGTAACTTTTGTCAGGCAGGTATCATATACTGAAGTCAGAAAAGTGTGACAAGGGTTGTATAACTGTCTTTCCTGTTCAGGAAAAAGTGAAGTGGGTTTTGTGGATTTATTGTAATGAATTATGTTTCAAGAGCAATACAAGTTTTAGGTGTGCAGCTAGAGCTTGGACTAGTTCCAGCTTGCCAATTTTCATTAGTAACTCTTCTTTATTAGCAGCCAGAGTATCGCTGTGAAAATCTGCATGTCTCTGTTCAAAATACTCCTTATATCTTAGTATGAATTCAGAGATTTTATTTGGAAAATAAGGACACATTAATATTTTAGTAAAAATATTTTTAACACAGGTTCTTCTGGACAGGTTGTTGGTAAAGGTATCTATAACATGAAGCATAGGATAAATTCTCCTGTAACATTAAACATAAAGTTTATTACCATACAGGCTTTATTACAGTCTCCTACAAAATGGAATATTCCGTTTGTTTCAGTCAGGCATTCAGTTAAATTCATAAATTCTTCCACTGCTCTTTTATCTCTACCTGCACGGCTAAATCAACAGCATCAAAGACACTGTCTGCTTCCAGGTTATAAAGTTCTTACACAGCATTTTGTCTTCAGGAAACCCCACTCTTCCAGTGAGAAGAGGCTTTGAAGGAAATATTGCCAGAAAACCTCTTCACCAAGGAAACCCAAAATAAAACTGGCATGCATGACAAAGATATCCTTAGAGCAGCCCAGCATCTGAATCACAAAAACACATCTTGAAGAAAACTTCACTTTCAAAGCCTGGTAATAGCTAATAGTGAATTTACTAATTCATAATTTAATTCATTAAGCTAGGCTAGTAATTATTTCTCCATATGGCTTCACACTGGTATTATCTATGTGACAGACATCTCTCTTATCACTCATATAAATAAAAAAATCTAAATGTAAATAAATTATTCCATTAAGAATTTGCTTGGAAGAGAATCACTTATTATCATCTTTCTAATTACTGATCTGGATTAATCAAAATGAGAAATGATAGTAAAATACAAACTGATGATGATCCTTTTAATCATTGCATACAGATTGGTATTAGAATGTGCACTGAGGGATTTACAAATTCAAATCAAGAGAAGAGGTGGAGAAGGGATTATGATTTGGGACTTTTGTTTATGCTCAAAGGGCACTGCAGATGGCAGGTCCTTGATGTATCACAATCATCTTCAGAGACTATTCAAAATGGATAGATTATGGAAAAGCAAATATACTACATATCACTTAATTCAGCCAAGGAAAAAATACTGCACTGCAAGAGTTGCGGTCTTGCAAGGAACCAAGTTATTCTGAGATGATATGTAACAGCACTACAACAGCAAAATGCAGGACAGCAACGAGAAATTTCAACTAATTTGAAGTGAAATCCTTCCAACCACTTGAAAAGCATTTGACAACAGAAAGTTAATGATTAGTTTCAGATGTGACATTACTCTGCAAGAATCAATATTTTCTTCTGAATCCCAAAATGTGCCCTTAGGTCTAAATTTTCGTTCCATTTTTTGTACATCTCACTGAGAATCCACCTTTCCTTCAATATTCTGCATGTTACCAGTGTTGGGCAAGTAACATATACAAATGAAGCACTCCAAGAAGCACTTTTACCTTTTCACTGGGAGGGACATAGAGACTGCTGTCTGCTCACAAATTCTGGCATATGGCTTACAAAATATAACTAATTACAAAACATTAGTACCTTTGGCAGTTAAAACAAAAACAAAAAACAAACAAACAAACAAAAACCACTAATACACAAATGTAATAAATACAGATTCTAACTTTCCTAAAAAGACCAACTTAACCAAGTTCCTGGCATCCTACATACACTAATGTTACAGATTTGCTTTTCATTTTCTGGCTGGATTTATCTGTCACCTTCACATTTTTCTTGCTGAACAAATGGCTTTATCCACAGCACCAGCTTAAAAGAAAACTGTCATACTTTTCCGTTTGTTTGTTTTTGACAAGATTATATTGTACTCACATGAAACTGTAGCAGGGAAATCTAGGAAAATTTAAAATAAAATTAAAAAAAATAATAATACATATATACATACATTCTCCTCTTCTCTCTCTTTTTTTTTTCTCTGTCAAATTCCTGTCAGCTGTATCTGCACCTGTATATTTCTTTCTATCTAGACAGAAGATAAAAATGCTACCGTAACAGAGTAAATTCATTTTCTGAATGTAACACTAGTGTCCAATTTTTCCTTTGCATGACTGTGGCCTTATGCAGGTGAATCTGATCTCATGTCTAAAACATTGCTCAGAGATCATTCCTGCCACAAGTATTTTACTTTCAACCAGTAAGACACTTGGAATGAGACACTTGGATCCAAGGCTTTCAACTTTTCTCAGACTTGCTCTTTCTGCTGGCCCTATCATCACCACCCTGCAGCTTCTCTGTCTGTGAAAAATAGTAGCAGCAACACCCTAAAACATCAGTGCGAATTTTCTCCCATCTAGCATGCCTAGCCCAGCACACCTCTCATCACATGTTTGCTGTGGCTGTAATTTTAAGGCAAAAAGCTTTTTAAAGCTTTTTTTTTTTTAATGCATTTTAAAATACATAGAAATTATAAGCACAATACAAAGAAATATGACAACTGCAATTGAGCTAGCAAAGAAGGTAAAGGGAAAAAAACCTCAGTACTCAGTTGTCTCGACGTTATAGCTCATCTTTTCTTACCTTTGTAGTCCACTGGTTTGGCATTCTTTAGAAGTTCCATGCACCTTGTTTCCTCCTTGTGAATCTCCAAATGTAATCTGCATTCTGGATGGACACCATTCACCTGTGTCAAATTAACAAATGGGCCAGAGTCTTGAGACATGAATTAAAATGCTTTATAAAGAATCCAACTACCAATAACAAAATCCACAAGTTAAACTGATACTATTTTTGCCTAAGTATGTGCTCAACATTTTATGCACACAAACGGTGCCCATTTTAGCTTCTCACGCACTGACTTTTCAAAACAAAAGGTTAAAATAATGCACTAGAGCATACACTAATTCCTGCCTGCAGCATTCTAAGGCTAACTGTCATTTACAAGAAAATATTTAACTTTGTAGTGCATTTGCCAATACTTTCTTCCTCCAACAAAACAATGAGTTAAACTGAAGCAACAAAGTAAACACAGAACATAAAAACAAATCAAACTGCATTATCTTTGACGTGGTAAATTTTGATTTTCATCCCTTTTCCACCATGTATATTTTATATCATGAAGGCCTCAGAACATGATTATTTGATTCAAGCAAGTCCTACAGAGGAGAAAAAAAAAATAAAAAATTTAAATGAACACAATATTGCCTTTACTCACTTACGGCCCTGCCCCCATTTACTTATGTCCACGGGAAGAGAAAGGGATATAGATGGGGAGAGAAACAAGACACTAGGAAGCTGTGCTGATATCAGTGGGATTCACAGAGATCATAATGAAATAAAACATTAATATGCTATTCTTCAGTCATTCTCACACTTTAAGTTACAAAGAAAAGGGTGACGTCTCTTATTTTTTCAGGGAGACATTTAATAGCAGGATCTGCTAGTAGTCTCTGGTTCATCAGACACTATTTTTCAAAATTGCAATACTTAACGAAGCTGTGATTGGGAACCTGGAATTCGGAGTTAGGACTGACAGCCAGGTTACTCCACAGGCTCCCTGTGGGCAAGCCAGTTGCACAGCTTTTAAAAATACACCATGATAACCATAAGCACAACATAGCTTAACCGTAAGATAACAGCAGAAGATGCTACAGAAACTCCAGAAATCTGTCTCTTCTCCTCAGAATTTGTTATTTCATCATCTATGAAAACAGAACCTTACTTCCATTTCCCGTATTTTGACCATTTAAATTATAAGCTGGACAGGTATTTTTTTAAAGGAATTTTTACAAATCCTTAACTTAAATTAGGATTCCTAGCTGTTACCATAGAAAGTTCAGAGTTAAACTGAAAATAACAGCATATTGTTATGTATTATGTGCTTTACAGATAGCTCCTACTTAGAATAAATGTAAACATAATGACTTTTACTGCATTTTCCTTCCACATAACAGATTTTGTAAAATAAATAAATAAATAAATAAATAAAATAATTTAAAAAAATGTTATTTTGTCAATTGCAAGCATTCACTAGCTGACTGTAGACCTCTTACTCATCAAAAAGTATGAGAATTAATGGGTGTTGGAAGGGTGGATTCCAGTTAATGGCAATGTTAAATAAATGAGGAGTAAATCAAAGCAGCTACTGCCCTGAATGAAATTTACAAAATAAGTACTTAGAAAAGAACCACAACTTTCCCACTACTGGTGATCTAATATTGAAGATTACTTCAAGTACATAAATTTGGTAGTACCCTAAGGTAATGCAACATTACTTTTCAGACACGGGATGCATGCCAAACTGTAACATACTTTGTTCCAATACACAGCCCAGTTTTCTTCAGCTAAAAAGATTTAGGGCTCAAGACTGTGTGGCACTGATGGTGTCCCAAAACACATCAAGAACCCCAAAGTGAATTTTGAGGGCACTCACCACCCTTCAGGGCCGGCCAGATACGCGTCTCTGTCTTTCCTTCTGCTTTACCAAGTGTAGGTTATTCTTTGTAAGTAGTGATTACTGACCTGTGTGCACTGTAGTGTGTACTATAAAGGTACACAGGGACTTGGAAATCCAGCTGAAGAGTCTCTCAGCATTCTTAGTGGATGAAAAACCTTTAAGGCACCCAGAATAGCAATCGGTCGGCAAAAACATTTCGTTTGACAAGTAGTTTACATTTACCTTCAGCATGTTTTCCCAACTCTTGTTGGAAATGGTCTCAGATTTTAAATTTACAGTAACAAAGCGGTTAGATTCAGAGGGTAGATTTTTATTATTTGAGGTCATGTTTTTGGAGACATTGTACTTTTAAAGACTGAAAGAAACCGAAGTTTCTTACAACTGAAGAAACACTTAAAAATATACAGATGTGGAAGGAAGATACCTTAAAAGAAACTATTTTAATATTCTGAATGCTTTTTTTATGTTAATATCACAGAGGAATTATCCGTGCACGTATTACAATTGCTAATGACCCTCCAGACCGTACCACGGCAATGCTCTGCGGTGTCTGTGGAAACTCTCAGTGAAACAGTTTTCAGGGACAGCCGAAGTAACAAAAAAAAACCGTGAACAACCCACAGCCACCGGGAACAAGCCCCAATAACCAGGAACAAGCCCCAACCACCGGGAACAAGCCCCAGCCGCCGCCGCCCGCTCCCCTCAGCCCCGCTCGGCCGGGGCGGAGCCGTCCCGGCCCCTGAGGAGCGGCCGGGGGCGCGGGGTCCCCCCGGCACCGCCACCTGCCGGGGTGCCGGCGGGGCTGAGGAGCCCCAAATCCCTGTTGAGAAGTGGGGGACGCTCGCCGTTCTGCAGTTACAGCGGGACAAGTCGCGTATCTCCCGCCCGGAGACAGTTTGCCCAGCCGAGGTCTCTCGCACCTGCTACGGCTGCCTCGGAGCCCCCCTCGGGGGGACGGGGGGAAGCTGCGAGGGAACCGCCACGGGCGGCTCCGGGACAGGAGCGGGGCAGACGGGGCTGGAGGTGCGGAGCGAGGGGCGAGCGTTGCCCTCCCGCCGCAGGGTGACTTACCGGCCCCAGGCTCCAGCAGAGGAGGAGGAGGAGGAGGATCGGCAGGTTCCTCATGCCAGCCAAGCGCCGTTGGGCTCCGCTTGCCCCCTCGGAAGGCGGCGAGCAGGAGCCGGGTCCCGCCGCGGCACCATAGGGCCCGGGGGCCGCCGCTGCCCGGGGGCGCCGAGCCGAGCCCCCCGCCCCGCGGGCGGCCGCCGCCCTGCGGCTGAAGGCAGCTCCCGCACCTGCCCCCGCCGCCGCCCGCTCCGGCGGCCGTCAGCTCCCGGCCCCGCCGAGTCCCTGCCCGTCTCTTCTCAGCTCCTCCTCTACGCCCCGGCTCGCTTCCCTCCCGCTTCTCTCCTCAGCCCCTCTCCGCCGCTGCCTTTTCTCCTCCTCCCCCTCGCCGCCGCTCCCGCTCCCCCCCATGAGGTGCGGGTCGCCCCCGCCGCCCCTCAGGTCGCCGCCGTGGGGCTGTGGGCAGCGCTCGGCCCTCGCTGCCAGCCTCCAGGAGCCCGAGAAGCCCCCTCAGGCTTCTTTTTGAGGCTCCCGGGTGCCCGTCCCGACGGTGTGCCGGGGCACCGGTGCCAGCTTTGGGATTTTGGGGTCCCTGCTGCCTGTCAAAGCACCGAGGCGATCGGGCGCGGTGCCCCCGGAGGAGACACGCACACACAAGCCTACACGGTGGGGTGGGGTCGGACAAGAGACCCCTGGGCAGATCAGCAAAACCTTTCGTGCCACCTAGCTGTTTTTTTTTCGAGGCACAATGTTTTAAGGCAACTTTGTAAGATTGCCGGGCGGTTTGTACTGGGTGTAGATCTTGCTTTTGCCTCACAAGGCACTTACAATATATAATGAAGTGAGAATCGTGTTAATCCCTGTCTATTGTCACAGAAAAAGCAGAGTTCATGCGCTGGCTTTTAGCTGAGAATGAGAATAAATTAGATTTATCTTTCTGCTGTCTCACATGTGCTGTAATTTCAGTGGTGTATATTGAAAGGGACTGAGTAGGCAACATAAGACTTCTAAATAGTCTTATGCCACCCAAAATAATCAGCTATAAGAAAAGACAAAGACACTCCTGGGACAAACCTGAAGAGAATTTTCATATTTTTTTAATGTATTTGAGAAAATTCCCTTCATATTTTAAGAACAAAGATCTGATTATAACCTCTGCGATATCATTAAAAAGAAACACTACAAACTGTAATGAGCAGTGTTATGACCTGCATGCTGAGAGCAGAGGGACATATTAATGTAGAAATAAAAACTTCTTCTAGGATGGCGTAAGATCAAGTAATGAAAATATTTTCATTATAGCAGAAAATTGTACCCCTTCAGATTGACTTTGTTCTGTACGAGACAGATGAACTGATATGTCAGATTGCACCTACTCCTAAACAGCTGGGTCGGAGGAGAACCCGGGTATGCCACTAACTCTCAGACTCCAGGGCAGACTCTTAGATCAAACCTCTTGGAAATGAAGAATTGCACGTTGCATCCCCTCAGTTCCTGAGACCGGTGTCCAGGGTTCCCCTTTGGGCTCCTGGTTGCTGACACATGCTGACTGGGGATACTCTTAGCACTTTCTTAAGAGCTATAGGGCTTTCCAAAATAGCAATCTCAAAACAATTTCTCCTTTTTCCCTGTTACAGGAATCTGATGTCTTATTATTTCAAGGTTTTGGAAAATCCTTACTACCTCTTTCTTTAGAAGTTATTTCTTGAACTTTGCGATGAATGGCTAAGAAAGCAGTCATTAAATGCAGTCACTCTGAAATTTCTGTGTGTCAAGGCTCTTCAGATACTTCACGTACAGCAGTAAACCCAACGGCAGTCCCTGTGTAGAGGAGCTATCAGGCAGACTGTCCACCAGCTGGACTCCCCCAGCAGCTGAGGACACAAGGGATGCCAGACACCAAATCCCAGTGTTTGATTCTTTGAGCAAATGATTCATTAGGCTGCTGAAGCTGAGTAGCCTGGGAAACCAATTAACAAATTAGTGTTAACGTTCTGTGTAGAAACAGTCTTGGGAACTGTCATCATTACTCCTTTTGTTGAATGACAGAAACTCATATCTTGGGTATAAGGCAGTCCCCATGTCCCAGAACTAGCAAAGAATTTTTGGAACTTATATACATTCTGTCAGAAGGTTTTCCGGAGTAAGACTTTTGTCATGTTTTGTTTTCAAAGAATCAGCGTTTTTGGACAAAAAGAAAAATTATCAGATATTTCCCAACCATCAACAACAACAACCATAATGATGGTTATTACTTCTGTCACTATTCCTAATGATGACTCTTTGACATGAAAGAGACAACAGATGAAAGAGATGCATCAAATACTAAGATTTTGTTTAGATACAGATGAGTGCCTTTTTTTTTTTTTCCTGAAGAGAATATAAATCATTCACAGATGAAGCCCAGAAAATATGGTTAGAATTCTTTTTACTTAAACATAGCACCATTCAGTGCCAGTTGTTGAAGGAAAAAATAAAGAACAAAAAGAAACTTAAACTTTTGTATGGAGATATATAAAAATTAGTCTGATACACTTATGCAACAAAGACTGGAGAGCATTATGACGGAAGCAAGGGGGCATATAAATTTAGATAGTTGGTGTAGATTTGATATCATTTCCAAGAATGAACTAGTGAATTTGGAGGAAAGAATAAAGAGATATTCTGTGGAGGTTGTGGAGGTATCCTCTAGGCACAGACTGCACAGACGTGGAGGAAAAGTATGAATTCCAAAAAAAGGGGAGAGAATTTACAAAAGAGGTTGTGGAGAAGTTTGACTGAAATGGTTATTCCTTGGAATCAGCAGGGCACAGGTGTTACAGAGGGGGCAGTGAAGTGATAATGGAAAGTTCAGCATCAGGTAACAGACCCATTGACAAGCAATGCCAAGTTCCTGCAAGCTCTGTGCTCCCCTAACACTTGGAGGAGCTGAAAGGTTTGCTCCAGTTCCAGATGTTGGAAAAGTATAACTTTATAGGAAAGATCCATGTCAGTAGTTATCCATGACAAGTACTTTCTGTTCTGCCTGGCCAGCTGTTTCTTCAGAAACCTCTAATACATGGTGTAGGCAACAAGTAGCTGATTTTTGTCAGGCACATGGAGAAGCTGACAGCTTTCCATATTGAAGCAATGACATCAGCCCCATTGAGCTGAATCTTTATTTATGTTGTTTGTGGAGTTCAAGATGTTTTGACAGTTTCCATTCTATCCACAAATCATGCTCTTGTCATGTGTATAAAGACTAAAAACCGTTGCTTCCATTGTTTAAAAGTTTTTATTTTCTTCAATCATCTAACAATTATTGTTTACTGAATTCATAACACACAGTTGCCAGAAATACAGCATGAAAAACTTAGAAGGATTTTCCTCAAGGCATGTGTACAAGCTGTCTTAGATAACATGCCACTTTCAGAGCTGGTTATCTCTTTAGTTGCTCAAGTTATTTTACATGTTTCCAGTCCTTTCTAGACCTTAAAGAGATCTTTTTCTTTCACTTTGTGCAGAACACAGTACTAAGTCAAAGTGCAAAAGGAGTGCTCTTAACACTAAGCCTTCATGAGATATTTCTAATCTCCCAAAGATTCACTCTACAGTTATCTTGCTTTTTTTTATTATTATTTTTGTTTGCTTGTTTTTATGCAATCCAGATGTTTACAGGAAAATTTCATCAGCAATAGAAATAGACTTTAGAGAGGGTTTCCATGAAAAAGGGGAGGTTTGCTTCTGCCTTTAATGTACATGCTGTTTGGATCTGTCGTATTGAAGAAAATGAAAGTTCCCCCAATTTTTAACCTTGGTAATTTTTCTTGAACTGTTAATGTATGCTATTACTGAGCCTGGTTCAATGATCAGATCAAAGCACAACAGAAAAGGTGCCTTTTCTATGTATGTATGCCTGAGTGGGTCAAGCGATTTGTGTTCAGCTTGTGCCAGTGGGAATTCAAACCTTGCCAAGCTCCAGGGGACTGTTGGCTAAAAAGCCATCTTATGAGAAGCATCAGTGTTGCTTCAGATGACCCATCAGTACCAAATGCATTCAGTTGCATTCAGAGGTGAATGTGATGTACAAATTCTCTGAATGAACAGAAGAAACATTAATCAGTGAGTTTCATCTACACCTCCAGCAGATGTTCATGTTCAAAAAGTCATCCTAGCTATTTTGAACTTTTGCCGTCATTACTGGTCATCTTCTGTCTACCTAATCTCTTGAACTCTACTCTTGTTTCTTAGACAAAGAAGCAGAATGATTTAGAAAGGAAGTTTTCTAAGGAAAGGCTTAAGTGTAATTTCAGCTTTTTCATTGTCTTCCAGTTCAATATCACCAACAGTGCCCTTCTGTTTCTAGGCATGAAGAGTAGCTTAAGGCTATAGCTGGGATTGTGCCTGTTAGTGGTAATGTTCAAATACCTCCATGAACTGATTTTTTATTTTATCAATGGCCTGCAAAATGACAGTTTACCAACTGTCCAATACATGCCAAATATATCCAAACAGTGCAAATAACTAACCAGCAAAATAATGATATAAAGAAGTCTTCAGAGTAATCTTGCTATAATTTGCAAGTATCTTGGCTACTAAAAATATATTCCTAAAGACAGAGAAGGCAGAGAAGTTACATATATATATATATATATATTTATATATATATATATATATATATATATATATATATATATATAAGCCTTTTCTTTTTGCTACGTTAAGAACTCATATACTTTAAATTGGCTTGATTAAGATGTCTGTAACAATGAAGTCTTCAGTCTGAAGACAGGGACACTGTTCACGGAAGACTTAGAGTGTAATCTATAATAGTTAGTGTAAAGTATGCAATTTCATCCTCTCTCCCTAGAATTTGTAAGACTCTCAAGTCTTCTGTGATTTCAAAAGAACGAGAGAAGGTCTCTTCAGAAGATTTTCCAATTTTGTGACCAGGGTATTCAGATTTTCCTATTTCCCTTATAGGCAGGTCCTTTCATAAATACCTATTGAATGCATTAAATTAATGCATATTCTGTTCATTAACATGGACAGAGAAAAAAACAGAGAATCTGATATTTTAAATTTATGAATGAAATATAAATAATTTGATTATATGACATATATATATGGCTAGAAAATTCTTGACTAATGCCATGTCAGCTGTGATTTACTACAAAGTTTCAGGTTTGATCAATGATTTTTGAGCCCTCTGTTGGACATGAAGTAATTAAGTATTTATATTTCTGAAAATTACAAGTATTTTATATACTAATACAATGAAAGGAAAATTGCCCCTCTTGGTTTTAGGGTTGTTTTAATGCCAGCAAGCCCTACAGACAAACCTAAAAAAACTCAAAAACTGCAGGA